CAGCCATTAAGGCTTGGCGCCCAACAATTGGACAGTAGCATCTTACATGAACACACGCTGTTTCCCATTCATATAGCATGACCAATAAATATTAAGAGTCGTAAAATCCTCCTCCGTAATCATTGCACATTTCATTGTAGAATTAATATGACTCAGGTGTGAATCATCCGAATATAATTTTCCTTCAATTGACTTTTTACGACAAACTACGCGCAGTGGTAGGATCTTAATAACGAGTTCATGGATATATATATTATATGCTATATTTTCACCTTGTAGCTAAACGCACTTCAACAATCCGTTAACCATAACATCTATATATAATATCTACATTCTATTATTATTCCTCTTTCTTAATTATAAAAAATATAAATATCACACATATGGCCGCTTATTTTATTTCCTTCATCATCCTTCATTATAATAATTTCTCTTCATTCTTTTTATTATTATAATTAATATCCTTGTCCCTATATCTTTTTTTTTTATGACAATATGAATTTCATAAATTTCTGAACTATACCAGCACACACATTAGGTGATTTCACATGGAATGACTTAGTGTATAATCTATGTTTCAACTAAATTTCAAATATTTAAAACAATTTTCTTGGGATTTATAGGCCTACAAAGTTAGAAATTTTATAAAAAGACACGTATTCTACGTGCATTATCTCTGTTGGGGGACCTAATTTCAAAATTTTTTTTTTTTAATTTTTTAGTTATATATCTGCTTAACACACCATAAAAATTTGAAGTTTGAGAAAAAAGTTTATCATGTAAAATTTAGCATTAGAAAATCAGTAAAAATCCGTTCAAAATCATGTATTTAATGATAGTTTTTTGTTGTTTTCAAACCATATTTTTGTAATTTTTTTATATATTACTGTATATGTAATATATTACAATACAATGTAACTATTATATATTATAATTATTACATATATACTTTTCTGTGAGAATTGTGTATAGGTTTTATAGGTTGTATTGTGGATATTTTTAATTTTAAATCTAATGCTTTGGCGTTGTTTGTCTTTATAGATATCTTATTCTGATATATCATTGTTATCGATTCAATCTGTTATTATCATAACGAGTCTATTTATACATAGTTTAAGAAGTACACAGTATAGACTATACTATCTCTGTGCATATTATTCGTCAATGTTTCTAGACGTTTCTTGAGATTTTTTTTGCTCCTGTTACATATATAATACATTTATTTTAAACTTATTTTTTATACAAAATTGTTTTTTACACTTCATCAAATATGAGATGTTCCGTCGGAAATTTTTCTAATGAAGATTGTCATAAATCAGTGTATGGATCTTTTTCTAAAAATTTAATTAATCTTGCTGATCATAATAATGAAGAAGAAAAATTATTATTAAATTTACGGACCAAAATAAATATAACTACGATTTGTGAGTACCACAAAATAAAATATTTAAATAAATTTAATCATTTATATGGACAAACGGTAAAAAAGTTTATTACCGCAATCTTGGTCTAGAGAAAAAGTATCTATAGAATTTAATACATCTGAGTATTTAGTTCGTTTATCAAGAGATTTGCTCAACAAGTATGGTATATTACCAGATGTTCCAAAAAAATCAGGTCGTGTATTAAATTGTGAAATAATTAAACTTATTCAAAATTTTTATGAAGATGATGAGTATAGTCGTGTATGTCCTGGGAAGAAAGATTTTGTATCCATTAAAATAAATAACACTAAGGAATTTAAACAAAAACGATTACTTTTATGTAATTTAAATGAATTATTTGTTGAATTTAAAAGTAAAAATCCTAACGTTAAAATTGGGCGGTCAAAATTTTGCGAGTTGAAACCAAAATGGTGTGTTTTAGCTGGTGCTTCAGGTACTCATACTGTGTGTGTATGTGTTCACCATCAAAATGTTAAACTTATGATTGACGGAGCTTCATTAAAATACGATTTTGTATACTTGCTTAAATCAATAGTTTGTGATATGGATAATTATTTTTGTATGATGAGTGAATGTTCCAATTGTCCGAATAACTATGAATACTTAAAAGAAACTATTTCTAAAGAGCTTGATGACGAAAACATTGTTTTTAAACAATGGGTAAGTACTGATCGGGCAGAATTAGTAACAAATATAGAATGTACAGAAGATTTTATTGAAACTTTAATTAATAAAATTATTAAACTAAAAAAGCACCATTATATTTTTAAGATCCAATCAAATTTTTTAAAACTAAAAAAAGAAACATTAGAATTCAATGAGTGTATTATTCTGGCAGATTTTTCAGAAAATTATAATTTTGCTGTACAGGATGAAATTCAAAGCTTCCACTGGGTTAATAAACAAGCCACTCTTCATCCCTTTGTTTATTATTATAAAATAGAAAATATAATTAAGTGTCGATGTATATGCATAATTAGTGATCACATGGAACATAATACCGTTGCTGTACATACATTTCAAAATCACCTTATACAAGACATTAGATTAACAGTCCCATTTGTAAAAAAAATTCATTATTTTAGTGACGGTGCTTCGAGTCAATACAAAAATAAAAAAAACTTTATTAATCTGTGTTATCATATTGACGACTTTGGTTTTGATGCAGAATGGCATTTTTTTGCTTCGTGTCATGGCAAAAACGCCAGTGATGGAGTTGGTGGAACGACAAAAAGAGAAGTATCAAAATCTAGCTTGCAGCGAGTTGGTTCAAACCAAATATTAACGCCAATTGATATGTTCCAATTTTGCGATGAAAAAATTAAAGGGATAAAATACATTTATGTACCCACTATAGAAGTACAACAGAATGAAAAAAATCTTAATACGCGATTTAAATTGTGTAAAACTATTATCGGTACTAGAGAAAAACACAGAATTGTACCAATTAATACCAATACCATAAGAAGTTTTAAGACATCATTAAATATTGTATCTTCATAAATATCAACTGATATTTATGAAGATACAATATTCTAACTACAAAGAATAAACCAAAATTATTTATTTTTTATTTTGTATCCAAAATAATGAATTAAATAATTATAATATATATATAATAGTTAAATTGTATTGTAATATATTACATGATTTTGAACGGATTTTTACTGATTTTCTAATGCTAAATTTTACATGATAAACTTTTTTCTCAAACTTCAAATTTTTATGGTGTGTTTAGCAGATATATAACTAAAAAATTAAAAAAAAAAAATTTTGAAATTAGGTCCCCCAACAGAGATAATGCACCTAGAATACGTGTCTTTTTATAAAATTTCTGACTTTGTAGGCCTATAAATCCCAAAAAAATTGTTTTAAATATTTGAAATTTAGTTGAAACATAGATTATACACTATACAATACCACATTTAAAAATCAAAAAAAAAAAAAATAACTTCTTAATGGTTTTAAGTGAGCTCAAAAACGCCAATTTTCTCAAAAAAAGCACCATTTTTAGAATGTCATTTAAGTTTAAAATTTCACATAAATTTTTTTTTTTTTTCAATGTTAAATATAAGTTATAATAAGGTCAATCCTAAAATTTTAAGTCGATTGAGTTAATATTGAATAATCTGTGTGTTTTTTAACATTCTGGTTATTTTTAACATTTTTTACATTAAAATAGCCATAAAAATCGGAAGGTCATAAAAAAAAAAAAAAAAAAATTGTTTTAATCTAATTTTAGCATAAATAATAAACCCTGAAAATTTAAGAAAAATATGAGGTGGTCGTGCAAAAACTTCTGGATGATTTGGCATGGATTGACCCATAAGATATTGTTACACGTAATATTTTAAATAATGTAAATTAATACTTATTAGACATAAATTTTATTAATTCCAAAAGTTATATTTTAAAATATTGTGTTAGGTTAAGTAATCTCTAATCCCTTCTTAGAATTACATATTATAACGAGTTAACATTTGTCGTAATATAATCGTCACTATTATTTATACGGGGCAACACTAAAATACCCTGTTCATGTACTCAACAATAATATCTTTTTAGTATTTATTAACATATTCTTTTTCATTTCAAATAGTCACCACTTCTATCCATAGAAATGGTTAATTTTAACTTGTTTCATTATACATTATATTCTTACAAGGACATGACCCTTTTCGAACAAAAATTTAGATAAACATTTAAGAGAAATATTCGTCAAACTCACGTATGCGGTTGGGTCATAAATCAATTAATAATTACTTTTAAAATCTTTCCTTACCAAAAGAAAATCTATGTATAATTTTTTCATCTTTGTTATTTTACTATTAATAGTTAAATGCATTGTATTAATTTTCGTCTTACTTGTAAAAAAACATGTTAATGTTACACATGTAAATGTCAAAATAATTTATATTATATTCATCTGTATTGATCTCTGTGTTTTATGCTTATTTATCAATAAACAATTATACTAAAAATTCGACAGTGAAGAATTTTGATGGTAAAAAAATATTATAAAAAGCCAGAGCAAATCCTTGCTCCTGGCTGTTCTTTTCGTGCTCTGTATTAATCTATGCGAACGTCGTGGTCGTCATTGTCGAAGTTTTTATGTGTTAATTTGTGAACTACAAATTTGAACTTGTGTTACTTTATTTATCATTTTTACCAATTTCATCACTAAGGTTATTATAAGAACCAGAGAATTTACTAGGTAAGATTTTTTTAAATCCATAAAAAAATTTACATTGTTATTTTATGACCCTCGAATACACCCCGAATCAAAAGTAACATTCACTCTCATTTTTTTAAACTCCAACAACAATTAATTAATTCTGACCTTATTCTTTTAATCTTTAAATATTATTTTTTATTAATTTTTGAGTTACGACACATTATACGTAATATATTGATTAACACATGGCAAAAAATAATGAAAGGAGTTTCAACTCAATCTAGATAAGATTGTGCCATGAAATCTAGTTTTTGAGATAATTATTAATTAGTATTAAGCGATGATAATATTCATAATTTTGATTATGACAATTATTTCATGATTAAGTAGGTTTAATTTACTTGCAAATTAAGTATTGATCGATTTTTTAAGTATTTATGATTTTTTTTATAGTTAGTTGAATAACTGAGTAACAAACTGTCATAAAAATATTTAATTACATTATTGTATTAAGTGTTTAAAATCTCATAAGTATGTTGAATTTTTTTTTACCATAAACTGTGCTAAAAAAATACTTTTGAAAAATGAAATTATCATTTTTTCAAGATGGCTATCAAACTCAAATATAAAGGTCTAATAAAAAAAAATTGAGGGATAAGCTCTTGTTTTCATACAACATTTTTTAACATCATCAAATTATGTAAGAAATATAAAAAAAATGATTTTCCAATTTTTTTTTAGAATGATTTAATTATTTAAATATTGCTAACTATTAATTATTCAAAAATTAAACTCATTGCATAATTATTTTTTCAGATTATTCAAGTTGGACTCAATTATTTGCGTAGTTCAGTATGTTATCGGGAACATGATACAAAAATGATGGCCATTTTTCAGATTCCCATCAAATTTAGGAAAATATAAAATCGGTAAATAAGAATTGTAATGCAGTTGAGGTGTCATTATTAGTAACTATTAGCTGATAAATCAAGAAATATATGTGATTAAAGGAAATCAATTATTTTTTTTATATATAATATTGTGTAGTAATTTTTTAAAACTTACCTTTGCTTTTGCTCGATCATTTAGAACAGCATATATTGCTCTTTTAAGAAAAGGATTACAGTTTAAAATATTTATTCTGGTTACTCTGATCGGCAATCCATCCTATAATGTATAACGTAGAACATAAAAGAGAAAAAAAGTCAAAACTAGTTACACAAAATAAAATGTAATCCTTATACTTTGACTTTTAATAGTAAATATTGCATATTTTTTAAAAATATGTTTTGATTTTTAAATTTTACAATTAATGCGCAATTTTCAAGTATGATTATTAAGCTTATAAACATACAGAGTTTATCCTATAATAATATAAGTTTCAAAAAAAAATATTTTTATGCATTATATAGTAGTATTTGTTTCATGATTTACAAACACATAAAAATTTATTGGGTTTATCTCTTTATAAAGACAAACACTTATTTTTAACAACTATTTTTATTAACGGTAAAATACTTATTTTATTAAATTAATATTACAAAAAACCCAGCACACTAGTGGCGTGGCATAGTTGGATCAAGTATAATGATATCTGACAGTGATTAAAATCACAATTGTAAAAAACGCTTCGATGCAAATCCATAGATAGTGTTTAATTTTAAAAAATTGGTGGATTATTCTAAAAGCTACATACATGATCTGCTATTTCCTTATTAATATCTTGATTAAGATAAAGTATGTTGAATGTAAAAGGAATATAAATATTATTTCTCATAAAAAAATTGTGTTGATCCATACACTTTTCAATAAGTTATAGCATTATAAAGTTAAACATGTAAAAAATAAAATCGAGAATTTTCACACAAAAATAGCATTTGGTAGCCATTTTCACCGTGAAAACAAAATAAAGTCCAAAATTTGTTTTTCCATAATCATGTACATTACATTAGATTTAATTAAAGATATATATAAACATGTCAGACTTTCCGGAACACTTTTAAAAGTTAATTTTTTGTGATAAAAATGTAATTTAAAATTTTAAATTGTGGGCAGGTAAAGAGTCAGATTTATAAAAAAAATATACTAAATGATAGGTAAAGACATCAAATACCTATAAAAAAAAAATTATATTGATTTGTTCATTTAAAAAAAAATTATGACAGTTTTAAGTAAAAAAAAATATATATGAAGTCTTAATAAAATAAAGAATGATTTTCTGTTATCTATAATAAAATATTGGTACTTGGAACAATAATATTATCACATTATTTGGAACTTGGAACTTTAATATTATAATACTTGGCACTTGGAACTGTCATTAACAAATGTTTAATTTATACTAATATGAAATGACAAAATAAAAAAAACCCAGCACAGGGGGGTCGCGGCACAGTGGTGACGTGGCATAGTTGATTCAAGTATAATGATATCTGACAGTGATTAAAATCACTATCAAAAATAAACGCTTCGATGCAAATCTTTAGATAGTGATTAATTTTAAAAAAATTGGTGTTTTATTCCAAAAGCTACTTGATCTGCTGGTTTCTTAATAATATCCTGATTAAGATAAAGTATGTCGAATGAAAAAGGGTTTATTAAAAAATATTATTTCTCATAAAAAATTGTGTGGATCCATAAACTTTTCAATAAGTTATAGCATTATAAAGTTAAATATAATATAAATAATAAAATCGAGAATTTTCACTAGAAAATAGCATTCGGTAGCCATTTTCGCCGTGAAGACAAGTCCAGAGGTCAAATTTTTTTTTTTCAAATTAAAGTATATTACATTAGCTTTAATTTAAGATATATATAAAAGTGTCAGACCTTCCGGAACATTTTCAAAAGTTAAGTTGAAAAAGTTCTACTTTCTATATGCATTTTTTATATTTGAAGCCCCCCCATATATAGGGAAATAGTCTGATTTAAAAAAAAATTATATCCAATAAAAGATATATATAAATACTACTTCTCATGAAAAAATTGTATTGATCCATACATTTTTTAAAAAGTTATAGCACTTTAAAGTAAAAAATGTCAATTATAAAATCAAAAATTTTCACACAAAAATAGCATTCGGTAGCCGTTTTCACCATGAAGACAAGTCCAGAGGTCAAATTTTTTTTTTTCAAATTAAATTACATTACATTATCTTTAATTTAAGATATATATAAAAGTGTCAGACTTTCCGGAACATTTTCAAAAGTTAAGTTGAAAAAGTTAATTTTTTGTGAAAAAGTTGTCATTTTAAATCCCCCCCTGTGGGCAAAAAAAGGGTCAAATTTACAAAAAAAATATACCAAATAATAGGTAAAGACATCAAGCATCTATAAAAAAAAAAAATTATATTGATATGTTCATTTTTGAAAAAGTTACGGCAGTTTTTAGTAAAAGAAATTGAAAAAATTTCGAAAATTAGCGATTTTTAAATTTGTAATTTTTTTGGAGGTTTCCCCCATTTACGGGGAACGAGGGAAATTTTTTCAATTTTGAAGGGTAATGTCTTTGACTAGATACAATTTGTGATCTTTTGACGTATCGTTGAAAGAAATCCGTTCAGTGAGAGCTGAGAAAAAGTGGTAACAGACACAAAAAAAAAAACACATAGTAAAACCAATACCTTCTCAGCTTCACATCGAAGCTAAAAGTTGTTATAATAATTTAAATATTTATGTATAATTTTTACCATATCTATGGTCGACTTGTCTAAAAATTTGTTCATGATTATGTTAATAAAATAATTGCAGTTGAGAAGGTTGATTCTATGTACTCTTATGGGCAAACCATTCTATTAAAAAATTAATATTTTATTACTATAAAAAAAAAAAAAAACACATCATAGTAAAACCAATACCTTCTCAGCTTCGCATCGAAGCTAAAATTTAAAAAATTCTTAAAAAATTTCGAAAATTAGCGATTTTTAAATTTGTAATTTTTTTGGAGGTTTTCCTCATTTACGGGGAACGAGGGAAATTTTTTCAATTTTTGAGAATAATGTCTTCGATTAGATACGATTTGTGATATTTTGACGTATCGTTGAAAGAAATCCGTTCAGTGATAGCTGTGAAAAAGTGGTAACAGACACAAAAAAACACATCATAGTAAAACCAATACCTTTTCAGATTCACATCGAAGCTAAAATGATCCAATGAAGAAAATGATTAGTTGATAACCTTGTAACCAGCATTTTTGAATTATGGTCATGATTATATCTGGGTGAGAGGAAAAGTATTGCCTATTGATATGTAATTATATAAATAACTAACCTGCTCATCATACCCAGACTTTATTTTAAATTGTTAATAAACCCCAAAATACTTGTTCAAAAGTTGTCAGCTATACATTTTTTTAAATTGATAATTTTTTAATATTAAAACTAGTAAAATATGTTTGTTGCAATTTAAATAAATAAAGTTGTTATTTTTAGCTTCGATGCGAAGCTGAGAAGGTATTAATTTTACTATGATGTGTTTTTTTTTTTATTTTTTTTTTATTTTTTTTTTTGTGTCTGTGAACGCTCAATCTCAGCTCTCGCTGGACCGATTTTGATGAACAATATGTCAAAAGATCACAAATCGTATCTAGTCGAAGACATTACCCTCAAAAATTGAAAAAAATTCCCTCGTTCCCCGTAAACGGGGGAAATCCCCCAAAAAATTACAAATTTAAAAATCGCTAATTTTCGATATTTTTTCAATTTTTTTTACTTAAAATTGCCATAACTTTTTTAAAAATGATCGAATCAATATAATTTTTTTTTTTATAGATACCTTAGATAATTACCTATCATTTTATATATTTTTGTGAACATTTGACCCTTTAACAGCCCAAAGGATGGGGTTTCAAAATGGTAACTTTTTTACAAAAAATTAACTTTTTCAACTTAACTTTTGAAAATGTTCCGGAAAGACTGACAATTTTATATATACCTTAAATTAAAGCTAATGTAATATACTTTAATTTGAAAAAAAAAAATTTGACCTCTGGACTTGTCTTCATGGTGAAAATGACTACCGTATGCAAAAATATGCTATTTTTGTGAAAAAATTCTTGATATTATATTTTACATTTTTTAACATTATGTTGCTATAACTTTTTAAAAAATGCATGAATCAACTTTATTCTTTAATGATAAATACTTTATATATACTTCTTTCATTCGACATACTTTTTTTTAAAATCGGACCATTTCCCTTTATACAGGGGGGGTGCAAACCTTTTAAAATGCGTATAGAAAGTAGAACTTTTTCAACTTAACTTTTGAAAATGTTCCGGAAAGACTGACACTTTTATATATATCTTAAATTAAAGCTTATGTAATATACTTTAATTTGAAAAAAAAAAATTTGACCTCTGGACTTGTCTTCGTGGTGAAAACGGACATCAAAGTTAAAGAAAAACGTACGATTTCCGTGAAAAAAATCTCGATTTTATATGTTATATTATTTAATTTATATTTTATATAACTTTTGGAAAAATGTATGGATCAATATTATTATTTTTTTATAATAAATATTTATATACCCCTTTCATCTGGCACGCTTTTTTTGTAAATCGGATCATACCCCTTTAACAAGGGGGGTCAAAACTTTAAACATGCGTATTGTTACTACGATATTTTCAATTTAATTTTTGAAAGTATTCCGGAAATACTGACACTTTTAAATATATCTTAAATTAAAGCTTATGTAATATACTTTAATGTGAAAAAAAAAAATTTGACCTCTGGATTTGTCTTCATGGTAAAAATGACTACCGTATGCAAAAATATGCTATTTTTGTGTTAAAATTCTGGGTTTTGTATTTTATTTTATTTTAAAATACCTGACAAGGGGAGTACAGATTTTCATAAATATTATATAAATTAAAATTGATATAGTATAGATAGTTAAACTTATTTAAATATGTTTGTTTCTTTTAAGTCGAGAAAAATAACTTTGAAATTTGAACTAGCTTAAATAGCCAATTTTTCAACCGCCGGAAGCAACGTACGGTTGCCGAGTTGGTAAAATTTATGTTTTACACGCTTGGGGTACGAGGTTCCAACCCGCATATGGCAATGAATTTTTTGCATTTTTTCTTAATTCTTTTTAAGTTAGTATAAATTTTAACTCGTTTGATTTTTATCACATTTAGATTCAATAACTTCAATAAAGATCAAGGATCCCATCACTTTAGTCGCCCCTTGCAAGAAGAA